AAGATGAGCTCCTCCCCACCAACACCGGGCCCACGAGCTCTTGGAGCCTTTATTTCACTTTGCAGCGCCCTGTCTGGGTTCACCAAGGTCACTTGTAGGACCATGTGGCCAAGGCGCTTTGCAGGACCTGTGCAGGCCAGAGACTGGGGACCAGCTTCCCATCATGCCGTTCAACGTGGACAGGCCCGGAGGCCCAGAGGTGGACACTTTGCACCAATGGCAATGTTGGGAGACTCCTCTCCTTTGCTGTCCCTACAAGGCTGCTCGCTGGCCTGCAAGCCGCTGGGCCCCCGAGACGCCTACGCCACGGGATCCACACCACAGCCCAGTCTGCGGAAGTCCAGGCACCACTCACTCACCTGCTTACAAAGTAACTTGACGCACACCTACAACAAGTACATCGGACCAGCAGCAGCTGGGGGCTGGCGCTGTGGCACAGTGGGTTAAGCCACCGCTTGCAATGCTGGCTTTCCATATGGGTGCCGGTTCGAGTCCAGGCTGTTCCTCTTCTGATCCAGCTCCTTGCTAACATACCTGGGAAAGCAGCAAAAGATGGCCAAGTGTTTGGACCAGGATGGGGTTCCAGCCTCCTGGCTTTAGCCTGGCCCATCCCCAGCCACTGTAGCCATTTGGGGAGTGAAGAAGCTGATGGGAGATATCTCTCTCTCTCTCTCTCTTTGTCACTCTGCCTTTCAAGTAAAAAATTTTAAAAAATTCAAATCCAGTGAGTAAGCTGACAGGTGCTTTCTAAGCCCCCGGACCCTGTCTAAGATGCTGAAAGCCAACAGCAGCCAGACAAGCCCATCTCCGACCCCGGCTGACATCCACATGGGATGGCAGCCACCAAGCAAGACACAAGATTGTATCCCGGTGTGCTGAGTGCAATTGCGATAGCACAAAAGGGCTTCAGAATGCGCGTGGAAGAATCAAGCTAAAGATGAGTTCGTTCTGGAGCAAAAATGGCCTGGCATCCTTGTGTGGTGTTTTTGTCATAGGCATTTGCCTCTTAGTGAAGACACAGATGATACACAGAGTGCTGGCTGTCTTTGAGAGCTCGGTCCCCAGCTGGTGACATTTCCTCAGGGAACGTGGTGACAAGAGACAGGGAGGCCTGGGCCACCGTGCGCCAGGAAGTGCAAAGGCCCTGAGGCAGGGATGCGCTGGGCTGGACCGGGCCACGCCAGCCTCAAAGGCAGAAGTGAGGACTTTAGAACCGGCTCCAAAGCCAAAGGGGAGCCCCTGGAGGGTTTCAGGTGGGGAAACAGTCAGAGTCGTGCAAGCTCCCTGTGGCTGGGGCCCGGCCGCGGGTGGAGACAGGGCACCGTGGGTGGGGCCCGGCCGCGGGTGCAGACAGGGCACAGAAATCTGGAGAAGGGAGCCATGAGCCCAGGCGGCCATGCTCGTAACCGTGCAGAGTTCCGGCCTTCGGCTCATTGCACCACCATTAGCTGCCCGGGAGCCATGGCAGAGGGAGCTGCAGCTAAGGCTCGCTCCCGCCATGTGCAGGACCCCCGCGGGGCGTCCTTTGTGAGGGGAACAACCTCCCCTAATTCATCTGCCTCGTAGGTTCCGTTCCCTTCCCTCCAGAGTGCTGCGTGCGCATCTCTGTTCCTGCCCAGGAATCCAAGGCTCTTGGAAAAACCATAATGTGGGGTTTTACCCATGAGGGCCACGCCCTCATGTCTGTGAGCACCTTTGGGGATGAGGGTGTGGGAGTCATTGTCTGGCCTCGACACAGGAGCAGCAGGAGGTTGACAACCAAACCAGTAACCTTGCTGCAGGCCACACAGCGCGCCACACGTCTCCATTTGCTTTATTATCGTCCCCATTTCACAGATGGGGAAACTGAGGCTCACAGAGGTGAAACCGCTTGCCCAGCGCCACAGAGGCTGCAAAAGCCAGGACTCAACACAACTGAACTCATGTTCTGAAATACAAGGTTTCTTTTTTTTTAAAGAAAGATTTATTGATTTATTTATTTGAAAGTCAGGAATTACACAGAGAAGGAGAGGCAGAGAGAGAGAGAGAGAGAGAGAGAGAGAGAGAGAGAGAGAGAGGTCTTCTGTCCAATGGTTCACTCTCCAATTGGTCACAATGGCCAGAGCTGAGCTGATCCGAAGCCAGGAGTCAGGAGCTTCCTCCGGGTCTCCCACGCAGGTGCAGGGGCCCGAGGACTTGAGCCATCTTCCACTGCTTTCCCAGGCCATGGCAGAGAGCTGGATTGGAAGTGGAGCAGCAGGGACTCGAACCGGCGCCCATAAGGGATGCCAGCACTGCAAGAGGCAGCTTTACCCACTGCGCCACAGCGCCGGCCCCTGGAAGGTTTATTCCATAAGGAAGGAGGGAAGGGAGGAAGGCTCAGGGGAATGTTCAGAAGTCAAATCCCTTCCTCTGCCATCCGGAGCTTCTCCAGACCTTAGATGATCCTTCTGACCCAAGAAGCCCAGCTACGACCCCGCCCCTGCCACTCCGCCTCGCAGGCTGTCCCTGTGTCCCGGTCTCTCCTCCAGCCAGGGCGGAGCTGGGGGGGGCTGCTTATCGGGCCCCTAGGAACACAGACACACAGGAGCGAGCTGCCTCCTGCGACCCCACCTGCCCCCGGCCTCATGAATGCAGTGTCGGCCCAGATAATCCCAGAGCCGCGGAGATGACATAAAAAAGTGGGGAGTCGGGGCGGGGCAGGGTGGGGGAGGAGGAGGAGATTACAGGAAAGAGGACGGGCCGCCCGGCTTGGCTCCTTATCTGACGTGCAGCAGGCCTGGCTGGGGGCTTTCTCTCTCCAGGGGGAGGAAGGGCTGCCCCCTCCTCACAGGCCCCGCACCCCAGGAGGCCCCAGACAAGGCCCATCCCAGCCGGCTGGGAGGGGGCACTGGAGCCCAGCCAGAGAGGAGGGGAGCGGAGGTGGGGGCTGGGGGAGCCGGGGAGTGGGCATGTCCCAGGATGCTGGAAGCCACACTGGACAACCGGGTTACTATGGTGACGCTGGACTCCGGAAGACACCCCTGCTGGGGGCAGGGGCCACGCTGAAGGGCTAAGCCAGGAAGGAAGAGGAGGAACAGGAGAGAAGGAAAGGCAGCACTCCCTGGGAGCACCTGCCTCCAGCAGCCGAGTCTCCTGTGTACCCATTTTACAGATGGGCAAACCCAAGCTGGGGCATCCCTGACACAGACAAGCCACACCCAGTCGCTCACAGGCCAGGGGCTTGGAGGGGGTCTGGGTGTGAAGGGTGCCTCCCCCACCCCATCCACACACCCCCAGGGGCTGCTCAGGGCCTCCGCCCCACCAGCTGGGTCAGTTGGGATGGAACTGCCCTGGTGATTGTCACAGGGGTCACAGGAGATCAGAGGACATCTCTGCTCCGGCCCAGGGCCAGGGGCAGGTCTCCAGATGGATGCCAAGGGGACACCCCCACCCCTCCCTTTGTGAATTGCTGAGTGTAGGCGGCAGGGGGGGGGAATGACCTGTGACTTTCCCTTCAGGAGCCTGACTTGGGGACGTTTGGGGCACCTGGCGGGGGCAGCAGACCCCCCGTCACTCTCAGTGGCAAGCTGCAGGGCTGGGCGTGGCTCCACTGTCCAGCTCCCCTCTGTTCTGTCCGGGGTATAGACGCCCGAGGACTCTGTGTACTGCCCCAGCGGGTTAAGCCCAGAGACCAACACTCGAGCAACTCTACATAGCTGAGCCGAGCCTGCCTGGGGGACACTGCCTGTACAAGCCCGGTGCCTCAGCCTCCACATCTGTACAATGGGCCCAATCCCTGCCTGTGCTCAGTGCCCCAGGGATGCAGGGAAACTCTGTGTGTGTGTGCACGTGCGAGTGCATGTGTGTGCCCGCATGGATGTGCACACACTTCCAAGACTTCCAAGTGCTCTAACAGGGGAAAGGGTTAGGGAACAAGCCTTTCCCGGCCCCTGAGAGTCACCAGGGCAGAGGGGCTCCCAGCAGGGCTCGGGCCCTTCCTTGTCCTAAAGGTGCCAGCCAGACAGGTGGGGGCCAGGGGCTGTGGGCCCGCCCAGGGCAGCACCGCCCTTTGTCCTGGAGAGCAAGACAGAGAGAGGGACAGGGAGGCAGACACACAGGGCCAGGGAGGCCGAGAGAGACAGAGGGAGTCAGGGGAGCAGAAGGGAAGAGGCGATTGGCAAGCGGACAGAGCTCATCAGAGACAGAGACACACAGATAGGCAGAGGCGAGGCGGGAGGCGGAGAGGCGGACGGACAGACAGAAGCCCGATCTAGCACAGGGGAGCGCTGACAAGACAGGGGCTGCTCAGAGACTCAAAGACAGAGGGGCGCACACACCACGGACAAGCCCCCAGGCTCACGCGCCCACTCCACGCATCCGGTCTTCACTGTCCTCTCCATTGCTTTCTTCCCTCCCTCCCGACCCCTCCAGGCCCCCAGCCCCTGCCTCAGCCCCCTCCCCGTTCCAGCCGGCCTGACCCCACCCCCCACCCCCGCTAGCCCCCCAGCCCCTCCAATCCTGCCTGCACCCCACCCCCTGTCTCAGGCCCTGCTAAGTCCGCCTGACTCCACCCCCCATCCGGCGGCCTTCCCTCAACCCCCTCCTCTCCTCCAGCCGGCCTGAGCCCCCCAGCCCCTGCCGCCCATCCTCCCTGCGCCCCCACCCCCTGATCCGCCCTCTCCAGCCCCCCCAATCCTGCTGCGCCGCCCCCTCCGGTTGCCGCCCGCTCCCTGCTCCAGCCCCCGCCCGCCCCGCCTGTGCCCCCTCCCTCCGGTCCCCGCGGCCCACCCCCAACCTTGCGAACACGGCAGGGTTTTCTGGCGCCTTTGTGGCCGGCCCGAGGTGCGCGGCGACAATGGCGGGGTGATGGGGGTTAATTCGCGCGCGGAGGTAGGACGCGCGGGCGCCGCGCCGAACAATGCGGGCGGCGCGCTTTTGAGCGCGGCCATTGTGCGCTGTGTGAAACGCGAAATCTGTTCCCCGCGCGCCCAGATGCGGGCCGGCCGGGGGCGGCGGGCGGCGGGCGGCGGGCGGCGGGCGGGCGGGCGAGGTGTGAGCGCGGCGGGAGCAGCCGAGCCGGGGCTGCGCGGCGCCTTCGCATTGCCTTTAACCCCCTCTCGTCCTCCCTGCGCCCTTGAACTCTGAGCTGGGGAACTGGGGCTGGGGGAGGGGGCGGGAGGAGGTCAAAGGTCTCCTTTGTGCCTCCCCTCGCAAGGTGGGCCCCCGTGGCAAGCCCCTGTCTTCTGCTGAACACTCGCCTGACTCCAGGACCTCAGGGGGTCTTGCAGGTGACACCGGAGAAGCTGGCCTCAAGGTCACAGGCACACCCCCACCCCCAGCAGCACAGGGTCAGCTTGTGGGATGAGACCAGGCTCCAGCCAGCAACGCGCCCCCTTGGGTGACAAAGGCTGAGCTGTGTCACCTGTGGGAGTGCCCTCTCTGTGCACTGGGGAGCATCTTGCCGGCCATCCTTGGAAGGCGGGGTGACCCCGCCATTACCTATGGCTGCACAAAGGCACCTCACGGGTCCTGGGACTTTAAACATTCACTACCACAGGTGCACATGGTATCAAACAGCCCCTGAACGAGCTTCCCTTAGTCTCCCACTGCCTCTGTTTGCTCAGCTCTAAAATGGAGTGCCCTAAATCCCCTCCCTTCTGTGAGCCTGCCTGCTGGGCTCCGGCAGGTGCAAGCCCCTTTTCTCACTTTCCACGCACCTCTGTCCCTGGCAGCACGGTTTGCATCCAGGCCTGTCTCCTTGGAGAAGGACTCTCCCTGGGCGGCAACACCCTGCCCGGGCTCCCCCCACCTCTCCTCTCACTGCTTCTGCTCCCCAAACCCCAAGGACTGAGAATTGGGGGTCCTCCATTCTGGAAGGATGTGTTGGCAGGAGGGGAGACGGCGACCAAGGAGTGAGAGGACCGCTGGGGCGGGGGGTGGGGGGCTCCTTGGGGTGACCAAGCATGTGTACCTCTGCCAGGTTTCTTGCTCACTTTTGTGAAGAGCTGAGATGATTCTTCTAGAACCACGGACAGGAGGACAGAGCCCAGAGAAGCTACCTGGAAGATGCCGAAGCTCTCCTGGGAAAGATGGAAGCTGCAGACGCCTACCCCAGAAGCAGGCTTGTTTGCACACAGCACACAGCACATTTCACTTGCATCCTCTGGGGTAAAGGAGGACTCCCACTTCCTCCCCGGCACCCCAAAGCCCCATGAGAAGCTCCGCACCTGCAGAGAACGTTCAGAGTTGGACCACAGGACTCGGCTTTGCCGTGGGCCAAACACGTTGGTCAGGCTCGTGGACTTCCTGTGGCCTTGAGAACCAGGGAGTGACCGGGGCGGGGGGTGACTGCTCCTGTACCCAGCCCCCTCGCCACAGCTGGATAGTGGGGTGGCCCCAGCGTCATCTGGGTGGGACATGTGCGTGGTGAGCCTGACACCCTGTGAGATGTGGGTGTGGGTGGTCCCTGGGGCGGGGGCTAAGAGAGCCTGGGCCGGGGTGGGGGGTCCCCTGGCGGCTTATTGGACACCAGCCTCACTTCCGGCTTCTTGCTCCTTCCTCAGTGTGTGCTTTGGCTTTCATCACCCTCTAAAAACCCCTTCCCCAAAGTCCAAACCGAGTCTTTGGAAGCCCTGAATCTCAGCCAGCAGGTGCCTCCAGGGCCTCCGTGCCGGGCTGGGCACAGATGGAGGGGCTCTGGGCGGGGGCCATGGGGCAGAATCAGCCACCCCTGGCCTCAGCTGCCTTGTTATCTCCTCATTGTCTCCCTGTCTTCCCAGCCCACCCCTTCCCCGGCCACCCTTCTGTCATCTCCACACGGCCCCCCCGGGCTCCGGAGGGAGCTCCCGTAGGCTTCCCTGCTCTGGGGGTGAGCGGGAGGGTGGGGGCCATGGGGTGGAGAGGCCGGGGAGGGGGTGTCAGAGTCGATGAATCACGCCCCACTGAGCTCCTGTTTAACACACACTTCTCCGACGAGTTGTCAGTGAAACCGTTAATTAATTAGCTAATCCCACAATGAAGTGGACTCTAAATGGTTCCCCCCCTCCCAGGCTCCCATTTAGATAATTGCTGCTGAGGGATCTTTGGTGAGAGTCATTTTTTTTCTAACAGGGATGGCCCCGGAACACGGAGGGAGATGGATACAAAGGAGGGGTCAGTGGGCCATCCCCGAAGCTCCGTTTGGAAAGACCACGCTCCCTTCGCCCCGGCAGAAATGGGGAAAACGGGGTTGGTCCTTGGGGCTGGGTTCAGGGGTGGGCTTTGGTGTCGGGGGCTTGTCTTTGAGCCCCATGGCACCCTGCAGTTCCACGGAGGTCTCGCTGGGCTGGGTCCCACACAGGTAATAATGTGCATGAAAAATGCTGAGGTGGTGTCACGCATGGGATAGGCGCCGGCTGAACCTCCATGGTCTCGGTGGTCATTCTTGCTGTGGCCCAGGAGTGGGTGGGACCAAAGAGACTGGGGAAACGGATTTCCGAGTGAGGAAGTGACTTGTCCAAGGCCACAGAGCCGGGGTCTGGCCCGAGAGCCCATAGCAGCAGTGGGGATTTGTGGGACTCAGAAGGGACAGCGGCATGTGTCCGGGGGAGGTGGCCGGGTTGAGATTACGCAGAGACAGAAAGGACTATTTGATGGATGAATGAACGGAGCCCACACCATATGATGCAGGAGCAGGACTGAAGGATGTGGCTGATCCCCTGTGGACACCGAGTGGGAGAGAGAAAACACGTGTGCATCTTAGAGTGGGAACCAGCGGCTTCACCTCACTGTGTCCCCTTCGCCTCCCCTGAACTCAGCCCTGCAGTTTCAGTGGGGCTGACCCCTACCCTGAAGCTCCCAGGAAGGGGCCGTGGCCATGCCTGGCTCATACACCGCATCTTCCACCACGAGCTCTGTCCCCAGTGGACACGTCACCAAGCCAGGGCAGTGAGCCTCCAGGCAAGGCTGTTGGCCTGGTATTTTCAGCTCCTGGGTTTGCTGAGGGTGGCACGTCAGCTTGCAGCTTTGCCAGCAGGAGTGGACCCGAACGGAGTGACAACGATATCCAGCAGGTGCACCTGGGTGCAGGTGCACCTGAACCTGTGGCTACTTTCGCGGGTGTGACAGGGGCTGCTGCTATCAGCAACCATGCTCCCAGCATCCTGAATTGGTTGAGGCAGCCATGCAGCCAGCTGAGATACTTGTCCAGATTTCCTTACATCACTGAGGGGCCGCGGGTCCCTGCTCGGAGCAACGAGTCCTAGGGGACAGACAAGACCTTAGGAGAAGGGCTTTTGACCTCTGCCCTTTCACCTTTGCCATGCCCGGATTCTACACGCAAGGCTTGCCTTTGGGTTTCTGGTACCCCATGAACAGTAGCCCCCTCGTTCACTGAAGCGAATGTACTTGTCGCTGTGCTACCTGCAGCCGAAGGCAATCCTGATTGACGGGGTGGGTTCCTGTATTTGCAAGAGGAGAAACCCTCCCCACCCCCGACAAAACTTCTCCAGGAGCTGTGGGGACTGTGAGAAGCCGCAGCCGGTGCGATCGGGGGAAATGGCTTTGGCTTCTCTTTTTGATCCAGGATGATCACGCGTCTTGTTCTCTTTTGTCTCTATTAGCCAGCAGAGACGGCAATCCAGAAGGACCATAAATTGTAAGAAGATGGACAAGAGAACCAGGCAATATTTCAACATAGGAAAGGTGGGAGAAGCCGGGGGTTGGGGGGAGCCTGTCATCACACCATCTATGCAGCTACAAGAGCCTGCTGGCTAAGCAACTTGCTGTACAACTTCTCTCTCCTGTGTGCTGTTCTCTCAGCACCTGTCACCTGCCAGGTACTGGCCACTTCACAGAATGAGCCAATGCCTCCGTGCTGTGAGAGCCCCTGGGTCCAGGGGGGGCCAGTCCTCCCTGCATTTAAGGAGCTGAGTTCTGGCACAGAGATGCTGGGGTAGTGCCCCCTGCAGCCAATCAGTGCCATTCACATACCATTCCAGGGCCAATTCTGGGAGTGGCCCAGGTGCAGAACTGGACTAGTCAGTCTCAGGAGAAGTGGGCACAGAGCTGTGGGCACTGGGGCCAAGTGTCAGGAAGGCCACCAATTGGCTTCAGCCTCTGGGAGACGTCCCACCAGCTGCAGATTCTGGAGGAGGTCTAAGCATAAGTCTGAGAGTCTTGGAGAGAGAATTCTAGAACTTGACCCTATTGTCTGAGAAGACTTGACAGTCACATCTGAGAACTACAGAATTCTATCACATTAGATCGAGTGATTCTCAAATTCTAGCTTTACAGGGACTTGGAACCCTACAGTTTTAAACTGAAGTCTGACAGCCTGTGTTTCACAGAATATGACAATCATGTTAGAAAATTTAGTGAGTAAAACCAGAGAATTTAGAAATTCTAGGGGCCGGCATTTGAATAGCAGGCAAAGCCACTGCCTGTAACACTGGCATCCCATATGGGCACCGGTTTGGATCCAGCTCCCTGCTAATGGCTTGTGGAGGTAGCAAAAGATGATCCAAGTGCTCGGGCCCCTGTACCCATGTGGGAGACCTGGAGGAAGAACCCTAGTGGACAAACAGCATGGCACTCCCACAATTCCAAGCAACTGGATTTGGCCAACAGCACAAATGAGTTTGTAAGTAGCCACTCCCCCAGAACCTGCAGCCCCGATGGCATCTTGATTTTGACCTTGGGAAGCCCAATGCCAAGTCCAGCTGAGGTCATGTGAACCTCTGACCTGCACAGGTGCCATCAAATAATGTTGTGTTGCTTTAAGCCACCAAGTTCATGGTGCTCTGTTAGGCCATGGAAGACGGAAGCACTCGCTGCCCTTGTCTGGAAGTTCTGCATTGGAGATCTTGGCCTCCCAGTCCCCCTCTCCCCAGTCTCCTTCTGTTCTCTTAGGCCACCCAGAACTCCCGCCCACCCACCTGTCCACCAGCAGCTTTTGAATATCTTAAGTCCAGGAGCACCGTCCTCCTAGGACTCCTCCCTCCCTAACACAGGCATCCTCTGCTCTTTGTGGGACTCAGTTTCCCGACGATGCCGCAACCCGGAACACTCCCCCTTACACCCTCCGCCCTTCCGGCCGCCCCATTGCTCCGCACTGCTTCCTGGACAGTTCTTGAAGAACAGCTTCATCCGTGCTGCCTCAGCTCCGGCTGCCTCCACGGCCCCCCACCACCCCAGGTGAGACGCCCCCAGTCCTTTAGCCCCGCCCTACCTGCGTGTTTAGCTTCAGCGTCCACTCCTCCCCCACTCCAGTGAGACGGGGCTCCTCTCACTGTCTCTCCAACACCTTCCGGTGCTGTGCATCCTGCCCGAAATGCCTTCCCCAGCCTTTTTCTCCTACAACTATGAGCATCCTGTGTCTTGCTCAGGTGTCGCCTGGCCACCCCGGCTAAGACTGCCACTCTGGGTGTCGGCAGGCACTCCCAGTATGGCCACGTGAACGGCAAACTCCGCCCTCCAGGTTCTGGGCTCCTGAGTATCATGGGATTCCTTCACTCTGTTGTATTTCCAATGGACCAACGTACCATCCGCTCTCCCCTAGACAATGCAGCGTCTTCTAACTGGTCCCCCAGCTTCTACTCTTGCCCCAAATAGAGACTAAAGGGACAGGAGTAAAACTGTGACTTTGACCATGCTGTCCTCTTGCTTCAGAGGTCCTTAGGACAGCATGAAACCCAAACTTGAGGCTACGTGGTGGCCGGGGTCCCACCCACCTCACCATGCTCCTTCTCATCACGTACCGCCCACCGCTGGGCCAAACCTCCAGCCATCCGCCTCCCCCCACCCGAAGTGTCCCTTCGCCTCTCTCCACTAGCTGTGTCTGCCAGGCGAGGCTAAGTGGTGCCAATGTGACCGACACCTCCGCCACGCCTCCCTCCGTGCCTTACCCAACAAGGCTTACTTCTCACTGCTGCCACACGCTCATCCTGGTTTTCAGGCCACCGTCTTCTGAGCTGCCCCTCTCACCTCTACCCTGAAACCCGGGTCCGCGGGTGGACACCATCTGAGTGCTACTAGCAGCCACGGTAGAGAGAAAAGGGACCGTTCCTGCAGCCCGCATGCCACTCTGAGATCTCTCTGCTCAGGTTTCCTGGGCTGAAGCAATGCCTCTCCTGGCTTCCGCAGGTGGGGAGGTACATTCTGCCGCACGCTGCACGGAGAGTAGGCAGCCAGTGTTGGTGAAGAGCCCCGCCGACGGCGCCATTGCTTTCACTCTTGCTCTGGGTGTCAGCTCCAGCCTGGCTCCTCGGGGAAGCTGTCCGTGGCCCCCCTGCCCGCATCCTGTGGTTGGTGCCCAGGGTGAGGCTGTCTCCCGTCTCCATGGTACTTGCCACAGCTGGGATTTGACTTCTACTTCTGGGATTCTTTGAGTGACTTCCTCCCCGGAGACTGTCAGCTGCGTGAGTGAGGGCAAGTGTCGTGCCGTCTCCGTCCCAGGCTCAGTGTCTGGGACAGTGGCACCCAGTGGACAAAGAGTGAAGGAAGCCCCTCGTTCCTTGCCTCTCAGACTCATTTGAGGTCTCTCCCCACTTCCTCGCTCTGTTTTTAGTATTTCCTAGGTGCGGTCTGATTAGAAAACCCTGGGGGATAAGTTGGTGACAAGTGACGACTCTATGCAGCCCTCCCCTTAGAGATGTCCTGGAAAGAGCTAGAAAATAAGTCGGGAGCTGTGGATTCCACCCGGCAAGGCAAATTTAGGGAAATCCTAATCTCAGCAGAGCCATAGAAATGAGCTGGTTTGTCTCCGATCACCCCCAGAGCTGTTGCTGTGAGCTGGACATTGTCCTCATGTCCAGCACGCTCGCATCACTGGGTGGGCGGGGCACCAAGAGGGCCCGCCCACAATCACACAGATGGGAAGTGGCCAAGCCAGGACCCCCCTGAGCCTGGGTGACCGCAAAGCCCAGACCTTTTGCTTCTTGAAGGGAAAGCGCAGCGTGGGGGATGGTGGGGCAGACACAGAACCAGACGGGCCAAGTGCGGCTCCTGCATCCCCTGCACTCAGCCGTGTGACCTTGGGACACTGACTTGGCTCCCGGGCCCAGCTTCCTCCTCAGCACGATGGGGAGGGTGACGAGGCCACTGCTCGCAGCCGCCCCACTTCTGACCCAGCTCTGCCTAACGCGCCTGGGAAGGCAGCAGAAGAGGAACGAGTTCTTGGACCCCTGCCCTCCATGTGGGAGACCCTGATGGGGTTCCTGGCTCCTGGCTTCAGCCTCGCCCAGACTTGGCTGGGTTGTTGGCCATTTGGAGAGCGAACCAGTGGATGGAAGACCAATCTCTCTCTTTCTCTATAACTCTGCCTTTCAACTAAATAAATAAACCTTTGAAAAAATGAATGCAAAGTTTTTCACACAGATCTCTCTCTCTTTCTCTCTCTTTCTCTCTCTCTCATAAAAAGTGAGAATAGGGCCGGCGCCGCGGCTCACTAGGCTAATCCTCCGCCTAGCGGCGCCGGCACACCGGGTTCTAGTCCCGGTCGGGGCGCCGGATTCTGTCCCGGTTGCCCCTCTTCCAGGCCAGCCCTCTGCTGTGGCCCGGGAGTGCAGTGGAGGATGGCCCAGGTGCTTGGGCCCTGCACCCCATGGGAGACCAGGAAAAGCACCTGGCTCCTGGCTCCTGCCATCGGATCGGTGCGGTGCGCCGGCCGCAGCGCGCCGGCTGTGGCGGCCATTGGAGGGTGAACCAACGGCAAAGGAAGACCTTTCTCTCTGTCTCTCTCTCTCACTGTCCACTCTGCCTGTCAAAAAAAAAAAAAAAAGTGAGAATAAATTTAAAACTAGGATTCCTTGGCAACATGGCTGGACTCTAGAGCTGGGGAGGCATCCACCAGATGAGCCCGGAGCATCTTGATGTCCCACAAAGGAACGAAATGCTCAATAAATAAATAAATAAATAAAATACACACACGCGCTCTCACCCAGAAGGAAGTCTGCCAGTGAGGTACAAGATCCAATGGAAAGAGCTCCCGATGGCCCAGCCTGGAGCAACTCGAGCCGCAGAATGAATGCCGTCGAGTGGATCATGACCCAAAGTGTGACAGAAATATGCGTGAGTCCATACTGAGACAAACAAACAAGGGACTGATACGTGAGTTCGTGGGAGAGAGCAGACGCATCTCCAGGCGGAGGAATTCCAGGTGACTGATGAAGGCACAGCTCCAGTTGCAGCCCCCGAAGCGCAGGTGGCACCGTGAGTTCCCTTCCAAGGACCCAGAACGAGAAAGGCCGGGAGGGACGAGGCACTGCCCTGGGAGAGGAAGGAGGAGCAGAGCTCAGTCCGGTGCTCAGTGCTAAGCCTGGTGACAGTGGGTGTGCCCTTGTCAGGGACATGATCCAAATGACCTTCACCTCTGTGGGCCTCCCTTCAAAACCCGTAACCCAGGGTGGGCATTTAGTGCAACGGGTTGAGTCTCGCTGCTTGAAATGTTTGAGTCCCGCTTTGGAGCCCAGAGACTCATAGCTCCTCCCCTTCCAGTCCAGCTCCCTGCTAACCCAGGAGGTGATGGCCCAAGTACTTGAGTCCCTGTCCCCCACTTGGGAGACCTGGATAGAGTTCCTGGCTCCTGGCCACAGCCTGGTCCAGCCCTGGCTGTTGCAACATTTGGGGAGTGAATCAGTGGATGGAAGATCTCTCTCTCTCTCTCTCTCTCTCTCTCTCAAATAAAAACTGTTTAAAAAGGGCTGTCAAGGTTAGCAAAGACAGGGGAAGTTTGAGAAAGTACCCCAGTCAAGAGGAGCCTACATGTAATGCGGGAATCCAGAGAGGATCTTAGAACGGAAAAGGACTTTGGGTAAAAACTGAGAACATTTGAGTCAAGTGTGGATTTTCAGTTAACCGTAACCTGTCAATGCCGGCTCATTAGCTGTGAGAAATGCACCATTCTAACACAAGATGTTAATAATAAGGAAAGTTGGCTGTGGCATATATGAGACATCTCTCTACTATCTTTGCAATTTCTCTGTAAATCCACAAGGGTGCTCACGGTAAAAGTTGAAAAGTTTATTTAAACAAAAAAGAGGCACGGGGTGGGGGGGAGGGGGGCGGAGCAGAGCAGCAGATGAAGATGTTGATTGGGATTCCCGTATCCCGTATCAAAGCACCAGCTGGAGGCGCATCTCCTCTGCTTCTGACCCGGCTCCCTGCTAACACCCACCCCCCCACCCCACCCCCGCCCCTCCAAAGAAGCAGCAGGTGATGGCTTGAGTCCCTGCTACCCATGTGGGAGACCTGGATGGAGTTCCCTGCTCCTGGCTTTGACCTGACCTAGCGCCTGCTGTTGTGGGCATTTGAAGAGTGAACCAGCACATGGAAGATCCTCTGTCTCTCTCTCTCTCCCTCTTCTATGTCACTCTGCCTTTCAAATGAATAAATCTTAACAAGCAATGGAGAGACTGGACTTACACGTGTCCATCAACAGAGGACGCCACACCTGCTGTGGGATATCCACACAACAGTGAAAGGAAAGAATCAGGAAGCCACAGGAGAGAGAGTGCTGGCCAGGCTGCCGAGCCCCATGCTGGGTAAAAGACAGACGAGGAAAGAGAGCTTCTCGCAGCATCCCAGTTACGCGAATCTTTGCAAAACACAGACGCCTCTGCAATGGATCTCTGGCTCCCTGGCATTGGGGTGGGGTGGGGGGGAAGCGGGAGGGAGGGCTCACAGGCACACATTTCCCCGGAGGGTGACCAATGAGGCAGTTGCCCTGGTGCAGGTGATGGTGTCAGGGCTGTATGACCAATCAGAACTTAGCAAGCTGTGCATGGTAAATGCGTGCCACGGTTGTGTGCCGGTTACACCTCCACACAGCTATATTGAAGAGTGAGTGTACAGGAAGCATTAAGGGGTCGTGGTGGTTACGGCCGGGGAGGGGGGGTCAGGGCAGCCGGGGGGGGGAGATCAGCACCATGCTCCGAGGGGCCCCTGGCCCTTGATTCTTCACCCCTGGTAAATGAGACCTCATTAGGGGAGGGCCCGCCTCGCAGAACTTCCCGTTTGTTAAAGATTAATGGGGTGTCTCCTGTGCGAGAGCCGGGGGTCTCCTGGCCTCGTTTCTCCCAAATCAGCCCCCTGCCACGACTCATCATCAGGCAGGGGGGAGCCCGGGAGCGAGGGGAGGGGCCGGGGGGGGCTAATGGGCCTCCTCCAGTGCACAAGCCTCTGCCGACTGTGGAGGGAGGAGAGCTGACCACCGAGCCACCCTGTCCCAGGAGCCGGCTCGGAGGACCATGTGCTAGGCCAAGGATGCTCCCTTGGGATGGACCCCTTTCCCCCAGGCACCTCCCAAGAGCGCAGTCCCTCTCTTCCTCTGAAGGACGCATTGCATTTCTGGAATCAACCACAGGTCAAGGGCAACCTTCACTCCTGCACTCCTGAGCACGCCGGTAATTTCTCATTGGATTTCTGAGCTCCGTGAAGGCCGGGACCTTGTCTGGCTTTGTCCCCACCGTACTCCGAACTCCTGGCACTGCCTGGCATGCAGTGGGCGCCCAGTAGTTGCTGCACGAGTCGCTGAACGGATCCTCTCCGTATACACTCGGGATCCTTCTGGCCAGGGACGTATCTCTCCGCGTCCACCGCCATCAACAGCGCCCAGGCCCCACCCAGGGGTCTCTCTGGGTTCAGGCCCAGGACCCTCTGCTTCCTAGCTTGTCTGGGCCAAGGCGAAACCAACCAATGGCTTCCCTCAGGCTCAGGATGAACGGAGGCCTGAGTGGCCCAGCCACGCCCACCTGACCCTGCCCAGTCCCAGGGTCGCCCCCTGCCCTCTGTGAGGCCAGTCTGGGCTTCCAGCTGCTCTGTCAGCGCCCTGAGCCCATCCCTGCCCCAGGGCATTTGCTTAGCTCATCCCTCTCGCAGGACCCTCACCTCCGCCAAGCCCACCCCCACCTTGGAGCGCTTATACTATCTCCCTTCTCTCTAAACCAAGCTCATAGAATTTTGATGTTTATTCTTAAAAATCAAAATGAACACCCATCTTCCCAAATAAGGATGACCGGAACGTCTGCCAACAGAAACATCAACGCAATGCCGTGTCTCCAGACGGAGGACAGCCCGGCTGGCCGGGGGCGGCCACGCTGGGGCAGGTGCTGGGGCTACAGTCACTTCCATCACCTGTGAGGCCCACGTCCCGTTCCAGAGCCCCAGCTCTTTGGGTTCTGATCCAGCTTCCTGAGAATGCGCAGCCTGGGAAGCCGCAGATGGTGGACGGTCCAAGTGCTTGGGCCCCTGCCACCCGCACAGGAGGCCAGGTTGGAGTTCCAGGCTCCCGGCTTCAGCCTGGCCCAGCCCCAACTGCTGTGACCATTTGGGGAGTGAACCAACAAATGGAAGCTCACTCTCTCTCTCTCTCTCTCTCACTCGCTCACTCGCTCGCTCTTGCTCTCTCTCTCTCAGCCTTTCAAGTAAAATGAAAGCAAAGAAATAAAAGTTTTGTAGCCGGCGCCGCGGCTCACTAGGCTAATTCTCCACCTAGCGGCGCCGGCACACCAGGTTCTAGTCCCGGTCAGGGTGCCGGATTCTGTCCCGGTTGCCCCTCTTCCAGGCCAGCTCTCTGCTGTGGCCCGGGAGTACAGTGGAGGATGGCCCAAGTGCTTGGGCCCTGCACCCCATGGGAGACCAGGAGAAGCACCTGGCTCCTGCCATCGAATCAGCGCGGTGCACCGGCCACAGCTTGCCAGCCATGGTGGCCATTGGAGGGTGAACCAACGGCAAAAGGAAGACCTTTCTCTCTGTCTCTCTCTCTCACTGTCCACTCTGCCTGTCAAAAAAAAAAAAAAAAGAAAGAAAGAAAGAAAAAAGAAATAAAAGTTTTGTAAAGGATCTTGGAGGCTGGCTGGGACAGAGCACACAGACAGAAGGGAAGCCCCCTCCCCCCACCCAGAGCAGGAGGCGCTGTGCGTGGAGACGCCTCCTGATCAGAGACTGCTGTCTGCTCTTGGGACTTGGTGCTGGAAGGGCGTCCCAGCTGCTGCCGCAGGCCTCGCTGGTGGCCGCGAAGACACAGGGCGTCAGATGGAGCTCTGGGGGCACGGACGCAGCCGGGAAAGCGGGGAATTAGCGGTGTTTGCTGAGCAAACACGGCCGGGTGGGGAGAAGCTGGTGGCAGCACCTTCAACACACATCGCCTATTTGCAGGCAAATATCCCCAGCACGGCGCCCCTCGGTGGGGTTGCTGGGCACGGGGGCTGCTGCAGTTCCCCGGAGGGCCTTGCACAGGGGCAGGAGGAGGGAAGGGGGGTGGTCCTCAGCCGTCTGAGTTCAGGCATGTGGGGAGCTCCACTCTCGCCGCCCTGCCTGGTCCCAGCCAGCCTGAGCGCCCGTGG